TAGAGTGAATTGAAACATTTTTAGAGTCCGTCGAAACATGTTTACAGTGCATCGAAACATACTTAGAGTGCATCCAAACATGTTTAGAGTGCATCCAAACATACTTAGACTGCCTACAAACAGTTTTAGAGTGCATCAAAAAATGGTTAGAGTGAATCGAAACATTTTTAGAGTGCGTAGAAGCATATTTAAAGTGCGTCGAAACATGTTTTGAGTGCGTCCAAACATGTTTAGATGCATTAAAACATTTTTAGAATACGTTGAAACATGTTTAGAATTCGTCTAAACATGTTTAGAGAGCATTAAAACATTTTTAGAGTGCGTAAAACATTTTTACAGTGCGTAAAACATTTTTACAGTGCGTAAAACATTTTTACAGTGCGTCGAAACATGTTTAGAGTGCATCCGAACAGTTTTAGAGTGCATCCAAACAGTTTTAGAGTGCATCAAAACATTTTTAGAGTGCACCGAACCATATTTAAAGTGCGCCGAAACATGTTTTGAGTGCGTCCAAAGATGTTTAGAGTGCATTAAAATATTTTTAGAATACGTTGAAACATGTTTAGAGTTCGTCAAACAGTTTTAGAGAGCATTAGAACATTTTTAGAGTGCGTCGAAACATATTTAGAGTGCGTCGAAACATACCAAATGATACGAACCCGGATCGACGAATCTTAGAATTAGGTAAGCAGGATAGTAGATGGATGTTCAAAAACCCACTAACGACACGTGAACCGAATCTAGGACTTGTTCCAGTCACAAGAACGCCCTAAACCCAATCCAGACCCGGTTAGAGAACCTTTGAAACTAGCGAAGATGCCACAAACACCTGGTGGTAAAAGTGTTTGATAAGTCAAAAGAACACTACCTCAAACCTTACGAAGTTTAGAGTTAGTACTCAAGAACATAAGAAGAAACCTCTCAATTCAATAATCTGAGTTTTACATGATAGATGCTCCCTTTTTATAAGGAAAGGAAACATTGAAAAACTAAGAAAAATAAAAGAGTTTGCTGAAAATAAAGAAGACTAAAAACAAGACAATTATAGTTCCAATGTAGTCAAAAAAATGACCACATTTATTGCACAATGACCAGAATTCGTAGCTCCTTTTCTTCCATGTTTTCCAAGCACTCTTTTGGGCTCATTTTGCTTCATTTGGGCTGATTTGGGCCTCAAGTATGTTAACCAAGGGATGGGCTTGAGTTTGGGCTGATTCCACTTGATTTTGAAGCCCAAACTCTTCTTGAAGTAGCATTGTAAATGTTTCCTTCAACCTCTTTGCCTTGGCGCGAGTTATGGGACCGTCACTCTTCAATTTCTGTTCCAAGAGCTCCTTTCGATCCGCTTGAGAATCTCCAGCTCCCGTTCTCTTGTCGTCTCTCCCGTGCTTCCCGATGTCCTCATCATTCCCTTCCTCTTGAAAGGGATTTGCCCTCAAATCCGAATTATCATCTGCATCAAAACGAGCTAAGTCAGCAACATTAAACGTAGAGCTAATGTTGTACTCACCTGGAAGTTCAATCTTATAGGCATTGTTGTTGATTCGTTCGAGAACTTTGAATGGTCCATCTCCCCTCGGCATAAGCTTGCTCTTCCTCTGATTTGGAAACCTTTCCTTGCGCATATGAATCCACACCATGTCTCCTGGCTCGAACGTAACTTCCTTGCGCCCTTTGTTTGCTTGCTTAGCGTATTGCTCCGTGCGTCGCTCAATATTCTTCCGGGCCGCTTCATGAATCTGTTTTACAAACTCAGCCTTGTTCTTTCCGTCAAGGTTAGTCATTTCGCTCATCGGCAATGGCGAAAGATCCAATGGTGTTAGTGGATTAAAACCGTAAACGATTTCAAAAGGCGAGTAACGCGTAGCACTATGCACAGATCGATTATATGCAAACTCAACATGCGGTAGACAGTCTTCCCACGTTTTAAGGTTCTTTTTAATTAAAGCACGCAACAACGTAGAAAGAGTCCTATTCACCACTTCCGTTTGTCCATCGGTTTGTGGATGACAAGTCGTCGAAAAGAGTAGCTTAGTCCCTAATCTTCCCCATAGAGTCTTCCAAAAGTAACTTAGGAACTTAGTATCTCTATCCGAAACAATCGTCCTGGGCATGCCATGCAACCGAACAACTTCTCGAAAGAACAAATCAGCAATATGGGATGCATCATCGGTTTTATGACAAGGTATGAAATGTGCCATTTTCGAAAACCTATCAACCACAACAAACACAGAATCCTTCCCAGTCCTAGTTCTAGGCAGCCCAACAATAAAATCCATTGAAATATCAATCCATGGTGCACTGGGAATCGGTAAAGGCGTATACATACCATTGGGTTGTACCTTGGATTTCGCCTTCTTGCACTTCATGCATCTTCCACACACCCGTTCAACATCTCTCTTCATATTTGGCCAATAGAAGTGTTCCTGCAAAGTTAACAAGGTCTTGGCCACTCCAAAATGTCCCATGAGACCGCCTCCATGAGCCTCTTGAACAAGCAAATCTCGCATAGAACAATTAGGCACACAAAGTTTGTTCTCACAGAATAAATATCCTTCAAAGCGATAATATTTTCCACTTGCAACCTTTTCACATGCCTTGAACACATCTTGGAATTCCTGATCAGATTCGTACAACTCCTTAATATGTTCAAACCCTAGCATTCTCGCATCGAAAGAAGTTAACAACGTGTATCGTCTAGACAATGCATCAGCCACATTAATGTTTTCCTTACCTTGCTTATGTCGAATAACATAAGGAAACATTTCAATGAATTCTACCCACTTGGCGTGTCTTCGACTCAACTTGTGTTGTCCCTTTAGGTACTTGAGCGATTCATGATCGGTGTGAATCACGAACTCCTTCGACCACAAGTAGTGTTGCCACGTTTGCAGAGCCCTCACCACTGCATACATCTCTTTGTCATACGTCGAATAATTCAATTGAGCTTCGTTCAACTTTTCGTGGAAGTATGCGACTGGCCTCTATTCTTGCATCAGCATCGCACCAATTCCTACACCAGAAGCATCACATTCGATCTCAAATGTTTTCTTTGGAACTAGAATTACCGGTACGGCACATGGCGACATGCTCTCCCGAACATAACCTTTCTCCAGGAGTTCAGTCACTTGTCGTTGAAGCTCCTTTGTTTCATCTGGGTTAGTACGGTACGCTGGTTTGTTTGGAAGGCTAGCACCGGGTACGAAGTCAATCTGGTGCTCAATTCCTCGCAAGGGTGGTAGACCATTCGGGATCTCTTCCGGAAAAACATCCTCGTAATCCTGTAACAACTTACAAACACCACTAGGCAAATAAGAGATTAGTTCATTAGCAAATAAGGCCTCCTTATACATGAGTAAAATCATCGGCCGGTTCGAAAGCATAGCTTTCTTAATCTCTCTAGCTCTCGTGAAAAGAAGAATGTTTGTCCTCTCGGGATTTCTCTCACAGGCTTTTTTCTGGGGTTTTCTCAATACCTCACCAAGTTTTAAGTGATCTACCTCATGGTCACTCGTATTCAACGCTTTTTCTCTTTTGAGTAGTGTAACTTGATCTTCGTATACCTCTTTCGGTGTGAGAGGTAACAATCGAAACCGCTTGCCCTTGGCTTCAAATGAATATCGGTTAGTGTAACCGTCATGTTTGACTCGTCTATCAAACTGCCATGGACGTCCAAGTAGCAAATGTCCTGCTTGCATGGGTACTACGTCGCATAAAACTTCATCATCATAGTCACCAATAGAGAAAGGTACCTTCACTTGCCGATGTACCTTTGTTTCTCCGCTATCGTTCAACCATTGGAGCTTGTATGGCTTAGGATGCCGAGTGGTAAGCAATCCCAATTTTGTAACCATAGACTCACTTGCTACATTGGTACAGCTTCCTCCATCAATTATCACACTACAAAGCTTCTCCTGAATAAACCCGCGAGTGTAAAAGATATTCTCTCGTTGCTCGATAGACTCCACTTTGGTTTGCAAATTCAAGGCACGCCTTGCAACCAACAGATCACCCCTAGGAGCG